GTATGTTAGCTTATGTCCCGCCGGTTCATATGTACGCATCTAACCTCCGAACCACGCAGCAGATTTGTTCTGAATGAATCTCTTCCCAAATCGTCCCTCCCTAACATTTTCGTCTCGTTTTTATTCGTTGACGAAAATGTAAATCAATTTTAGTCATAGTTTTTGTCATTCAAAAAGAGTTTTAGTTCGTTATCGTCTCATTGTCGTCGGTGAAAAAAATGTCGTTGACATTAACACTGGTCAGCACAGCATCATCTTTTAGTTTCAAACTTTCTTGAAAATCCTGTGTCGAATTGTGCCTTGTTTGCAAACGAATTCTGCGGTAAAATTAAGTGAACAAAGAACTGACGCGGTCTGGAACCTCATTAAAAATAAAGTTCATTCACTCTTTCCTAACGTCAGAAGGAAGACAATGCAAAGACTGTTTTTTTCTACAACTTGGCACTACACGCTGTCTTGTTGTGTTCGGAGCATCTATATCCTTTGGTTTCTGCGTAGACCTGCGCGTTTGGCTCTCTCGTAAACTACATGCACGAATCTCTGGGCGGGGCTAAACAGGCAGCGATGTAGAAGCAGGCGTTGATCATCTTCTGCGGAGGTGGTGTTTAGCCACACTATTACATCATAGAGTGGTGCATTCCACAAGCTGTCGTTTTGGCAGATTTGCTTCAATATAAGCTGTTTTTAGACTAACAAGAAAGTTTTGATGTTTTTATAGTACAATGACCTCTTAAAGGGTTTTTAGTTTCTCAGTTCATGACCTCAATAAAAAAAGCGTTTTATTCTAGCTTCATGCAATATTTTTTATCAACACTTTTACAGTTTTATAAAAATAAAAAAAAAGCAAAATTTTTAACAAAAAGCTGAGAAAATCGCGTTTTTGTAAAAAAGATCCAGAACAATGATCAAAACATAGATGGAATCTATCATTTATCAACACATCCAAAGCTTGCATGGTCCTAAACCACTTCCTGGATCGTCACTTCAATCAGTAACGTTAGGCAGTTTTGATTTACATGCTGTTGATTGCGTTATTTTACATATGCATCTGCTTACATGCAATCGCTTGTTTCTGCTGCTTTTTGTCGTGTTTTGATCCAGACGTTCAATACCTTTTTTTTTTTTTTTTTTAGAAGATGCATAATAGCGCCCCCTACCATACAGCAGTGAAAGCACTGAAAGCTGGAAAATTCTGTCAATGGCAGGGAAAGAGTTAATAACAAGCCACACAATGAGGTACAATTCATACTGCATCTGTTGCACAAAAGATGCGGGGCTAGTTACGTAATTTTGTTACGTAAGTTTGTTCAAATCACAAATTATGAGTACCACTTAATTTATAAAAAAAAAAAAGAAGAAAACTTTGAGTGAGCTAGTATGGTGCAGAAATAGTGCAGCGTGAAATGGGAGCGGAGTCCATCCTACTGCTGCCGAAGGGAGAAGAGCTTATCAAGTGGAAACAGTGCTCCGGTGGGGGTGGTGTGTGTTTGAGGTGCAGAGAGATTTCCCACTCATGAAGAGGAAACACTGTGTTGACAGCATGCCAGCAGTGCTGTGTGGGTGTGTTTGTGTGTGTGTGT